TGTTGTGCTTTTGACATAACAGCTATATGATGAAGCCTTTTGCATTGTAAATTATGCTTCAGGGCTCTTATCAAGATGCATGGCCATCAGATAGAGTATAAACAAGTGTGGTAACAGGGACTAATTATGGTGAGGCTCCAAAATCGTTTTAATATAATGTACTCAACCTCTTTATTCATTAAAATAAAACTCCATATCAGTATTGAAACCTTAAATAAGGGCTAAAAAATCATTCCAATACAAGTTTATAAGAAAAATCAAATGTGTGTTTGTGTAAATAGAGGTAATAATGTGATTTTCTTCGAACATGTAGAACTTGAGGTTTATTGGTATAGTTTAATACTAAAAAGTATTTTTTAAGTAAATTTCCAGTTGTAAGCTGCCAATATACAAGATAACTAAATTAATGAAATTTCTGTTAAATATATTTTAAAGTTTGAAAGTTTTAACAAGTTATAAGAACTTGAAATACAATTATATTTTTCAGTTTCAACAAGTGGATGATGAATGACAACTACAATCCATGGGGAAGAAGTGGAGCTGGGGCTCCATTGAGAGATACAAAGGGAAATGTCATCAGTGAGGCTCGTTATTTTTTGTTTAATGAAAAGTTTTGTAATTACTATTTTCATATTTTTGATTTTAGGTTGAAGTTTCCTACAGGTATGAGAACCCCAGCTTATGTATTTATATTGTATTCAGGAAATCGTTTTGTGAGTCTCTTATTATTGAACATTTTACTATATTGTACTTTAGTGATTTTGCTGCTGTCTGAATAGCTGAACAACTGATGCTCAGTAAAGACTATTAGTGACTGCCAGACTTTTAATACTCAAGTTCAGGACTCAGACTGGAGTCATGTATTTCATTACACAGACTCAGGCTCAAGTCACTGACACACAAAAGTTGGGCTCAAACTCGACAATGTGTGACTCAAAATTAGACTCAGCATTTAAGTATTTTGACTCAGTGATATTTGTGAGTAGTATGCAACAAAAAGTAACTGTACCTGTAGGTATTGCATGACATTAAATGTCTTGTATCTATTTTTCCTATGCAATTATGACTGCTGCTATGCTTAGAATTGCAGTATATGGCCTTGAAAATTACTCAGGAAATACATTATTGTCAAAGTCATGTGTTAATTTTGTGAAAGGCTGAAGAAAAATTGGGGAATTATCTAACTTTAGCAGGCATCTTTTACATGTTCATCCAGAAAAGTAATTTAGGCCAAGTGACAGTTTTAATAATAACAAAATGGAACACGCTTTGTAAACATATCTGGATATTATTAAAATATTTACATATCACTGTTATTTTCTTTTAGCTTCCAGAAAAGCAAAGATTACGAATTTTGGAACAAATTATTCAACAAATTCCTCATTTTCAGTTGCTGGGGAAGATCGCTATAAAGAAGAGCTCAAAAAACAGGTTTGCTGAATTCTGTGAATTAATCCTATTTGTGTAGTTTTTACTCTGTGCTTATTAAACAGTAGTCTTGACTAAGTATTCAGTGGAATCCCTGTCATGAAGATTAAACGTTTCCTACCTGGTGTCTCATGTCATTACAACAACAAAATGATGACATCAAGTTTTGAAATATTATGGATGATCTATCTCCTCATATTACATCCAAAGTAAAATTATAACTTAAATGTTGAGATTTAAATTTTTTTGTGTAAGTCTTATTAACACTTGTTTTGAATAAAGCAATTAAAGAAGGTAGAACCTGCTAGCCCTAATTTTCAGTTTTTGTCCCATTCTGTAATTATTATTGAGATGGAGAAAATCATGAAATTTCCCACCTGCAAAAATACAGCTTGTCAGTGAACAAAGCTAAGTCACAAGTCTTATGACTTTGAATTCATTTGAAGCTTATTTTTAGCTCAAATAGTTTAAAAACAGTGACTTTTTGATGTTGGTGATATAAAAAAACTCTAAAATTCAACCATCTATATGTTTTGTTTTACATCTTCCAGGCTTAGGAAGCTAGAAATTTATAATATATACCATCTGAATTTTGAAACCTGGGGTCATTTTCATTCTTGCAATCTATTTGCTGTGGAGTTCCCTTCATTCCTTCTGTAAAGTTGTAAAATTTCTTACTGCATTAGTAATGATTTTCTATTATTTGTATGCCAAATTAAGGTAATAAATTAACTTAATGAGTTTCCCTCCATGTTAGGCCCGGCATGGCCAGGTGGATAA